CAGCACCTCCAGCTGGAAACACATGGGGACAGTGTCAAATACATGCTGGTGTGAAAACCAGCGGGCAAGTGTTTCACTTCCGCCTCTTTTGTTGAATCACATGAGTTATAAATCACATCAAATAAACTAAACTGATACAAGACATCGTGTGATTATTCATCACCTCTGATGCTGTGAACTTCTCTCTCGGACCTGCAGAGATCCACAACTTGACGCCATGTAGCTTCTCCATGGACAGCTCATCTTTCATGCTGTGGAACACGTGGTTTATTTGTATCTTTTGTTTTCTGAAACAGACGCTTCAGACGCTGTTCGACCTGAAGCACGTAGACTAACACAGCAGACAGAGGTTAATGTTCCAGCCCAAACCTTTCCTTACCTCTGGATTTTCCACTGAGCTCGTAGTCTCTTCTGCATTGCTTTGTATCCATTGCTGGCCGTGAACACTTCTCTTTTAGAAGCGTTGAACACCACGCAGTTGTGCGATTCCCTCTCCATCATTTATTATGTTTAGTCCATACACCTAGAAACAGGTTTAACCCCAATTTACAGTAGATCCCACATATTAGCTGCGGACTCTACTTGATGCATTACACCTTTATTAGCTAGCTATGGGCTGAGTTAGCTTGACTTTTATGATAAACCAAACAATTACAAAAGGACAAATTACAAACATAAGCAGAAGCGTCCACCGTGGTGTGCTCGAATTGTGCTAGCAAACCTAGCTAAGAAGCTAGTAGCATTAGCGGTGTAGCTAATAGCTTGACGTCGTTACCTTATACGTTCAGTCTTTTCCGTTCATCGATTCTAGACATAGTGAAGACAACTAAGCGATGATAGCATCCACTAACACCTGCGACACTGCGCTACGTTACACTGACAGGTTCACTTTGCTCAAGTTACCTCAAAGGCTCCATGAGAAGTGATGCATTATGGGGCGGAATGGTAACCAGCGACGCTAACCGCTTAGCAACCAGGAAGCGCAGCGGTGAGGCAGGATGAATTCCCCTCACTGTTTTCACCCCGATCTCATCGTGTTCATCAGAGGAGGAAATGATTACACCCCACAGATTTCAGGCTCATAAAGTTCCACGTGAGCCACCTTGGAGAGAAAATGGATGGAAAAACAATAGAAGGATATTCTATAACACAGCAGAAAAATAATGAGATAAATTCTGTTGGAGATTATGTGGCACAAACCGACAGCCAATCATGCGTATGGTTTCTGGGAGCACCCCTTTGTTAGGTACAGATAAGGTTTAAAAATATATGAAGTGTTTATTTTCATGGGACTTGCGTAATGGTATAGGTGTATAATGGAGTAAATATGTGAGAATGTAAAGGGAATGCATGATGGATGTTAGACGGATCATTTACTTTAATATACACCTTTAAACTAAATAAATAAGTGAAATATGGCGATTAAAAAACAACTACTCCTATAATGCTATTACTTTTATATGAAACTTGAAATTTCCAAAGTGAGGAATGAACATCAATATTACGATTCATGTTTGTGACTCATTCCAGTGAAGTGGTAGTAGTTGCCAAAGCAACCATTAACTTTTGTCAAATGTCTTATTCAGTGTAAGGCTAATGGCCATTTCATCACAGAAATGTGTCCAATACATTTAGATTCTTGTACTTGTTTGCTGCCATCATGAATAGCCATGGACAACTTATCTCCTAATAGTATTAGATAACATTTCTCTTATCTGTAGGGATGAATACAAAAAAGAAATCACAATATTATTGTGATCTATACATTGTCAAAGAATGTTCATGGTCATGAAATAAATAAAGAGGCTTTACTTTAAATGCTTTATTTTATTCCAATATGACAGAGCTAAATGTTGTAGATGGCTTCCAAATATAACTCACACAGGAGGAGGATCAGGGGTATTAAAAGTCAAACAGGTAAAAACAATCATCACGGAACATGCAAATTGTGAATTATATTTGTTAGAACGTTTACATCTTTCTATTTGGACTTGGTACATATCATATATGTTATCAAAATATGAAGTAACTGATGCCCCTGCTGTCTGCTGCTGGATTCAAATGGTACATTTAGACTAAATTAAAACAAGAGAAATACAACAACCTTCTGATCACCATTTCACAGAAAAACAAAACCAAAAGATCAAGAAAATATATTGATAAAATGACTTCCCAATTTGTTCCAAAAGGTACAAATCATTTTTGACCTGAAAACATCTCAAAGCACATCAGATACAGGGCTGGGATGTGTACTACTACTACTAAACTTTGTTCAATACATTGTAACAGAAGTCGTCAGGTCTTGGGAGGCTGACCCAGGATCAAGAGCGAGACCTAGAGCGGGACACAGAGCGCTTTTCTGGGGACTTGGAGAGCTGGCGGTCATTGCCAAGAGGAGATTTACTGCCGCGTTTTTCATTTCTGCTCTCTGAGTGGGAACTCGAGCGGCTTCGAGACCTCTTGCTAGAAGACTTCTCCTTGGAACGACTTCGGGACTCGCGTTCCACTTTAGCTTTGGATCTGCTCTTGGAGCGTGACTTGCGCGTGTCTGAGCGAGAGCGGGACTTTTTGCTGTTGTAGGGGCTGCGTGATTTGCGGGTGCGTGAACGAGACTTCTCTGGGGATTTAGAGTGGCTAGACTTTCTCTTTGATCTCGAGTGAGACTTCCGTCCTGACCTGGAGTGAGACCTGCGCTTGCTGCGAGACTGAGATCTGCAAAAGAGAAAGAAAATTACGTTTTTGAATTATATGACTTTTCAAAATATATATATTTATATATATATATATAAAAAAAGACTTCCCTAGTTTACCTTACTCCTCGTCTCTGATTTAAGACTGCTTAGTATAATTCCCACTCACAGAAGCTAAGTAAAATCACTTTCAACTAAATATCCACGTTGCGATCTACACTGGAAGCCAATGTTAATACTGTTTTCTCCCAGAAGAGGGTGATATGATAGGAGCCTCACGTATCAGTAAAAGCAATGTTGTGACCAACAAGACGATCAATGGTGAGTGTTTACATCATTGTTTTCAAACACCTCCGACTCAAACGAAAAATGTAGTATTTTGAAAGTAGACAAAGACAAATATCCCCATGACACCTGTAGCTGCTTGTATCCTTGTCACATGAACGCCTTGACATCATTTGAACACATCTTGCATTTTCAAAAATTTTCCAGGGAGCATGGGAGCCCAGTATTTGACTTACCGTGAGCGAGACCTGGAATGGCTGCGAGAACTCCTGCTTCTTCGGCTGCGGCTGCGAGAGCGCCTCCTGCTGCGAGATCTGTGTGTTCAACATGACATCCTTGAATATGAACAATCGGAGAAAGAATGACAACAACAAATGCACACAAATGCTTCATGAGGGATTCTATCTGGCTTTGAGCTTCACCTACCTGGATCTACTGCCAGAATATGAGCGCTTGCGCCGAGGTTTGTCTTCCACCAGACGAATCTTCCTCCCGTTAACATCAGTACCATCTAGCTTTTCTATAGCTCGCTTCATTTCTGAGCGGGTCCGGTACTCAATGATGCCCTCATTGGCACGGCCTTTATGTGCATCAGCATAGGTCACTTCACCTGCTTGCCGCATAAAATCCTACGAAGAAACAAAAAATTACTATGAGGTTTGTGTACAGATTTAGTTGTTCCAGAACTAAAGTGCTTGTTTGTCTTGGCTGTACGTTTAAGATCAGTGTCATGCTACAGTCAGTGCATATTAAAACGGAAATACTTGAATTATTTAGAGACTAGCTCCCACATTTTTACTCCATCAAATCTGTTAAGAACTGGTTGGGAGTCCATACACTGTTTAATTGTGGATTATCTCTCACCTTGAGGTCCTGCCAGCTGCATCTACTGGACAGGTTCTCCACAATGAGGCGGTGTTCAGTGCGCACAGGCGGCCCATACTTGTCCCTGCCAGTGCGATTCCAGCTGCTGTGGCCGCCACCTTTAAAGACGACAGGAGGATAAAAGTTTTCCACTAATTTGTGGAATGGTGAGGAGTCCGAAATGGCATAAACTATATAAGAAACCACCACTACAGACTGGTCTTGGTTGCCTAGAATTAATACTGGGCCCAAGCCTCCTAACTATTTCTCTTAATAGACTGCTAAGTAGCTGTCAGATTTCAGAAACAGGGTAATTAAAGATAAACAATGCTTTACACATCCTCTGGACCCAGGAGCTGTCGGATTTCGGTACAGCAGTTAGGGATTACTGAAATTTTATGAGAAACAGCATTTTTTTACTTAACTTGTGTGTATAAGTTGTTTCTTTAAAGCACCATAGTAAAACCTGTGACCATGGTGCAAAGGAATGACTATAGAATCAGCTTTACTTAACATAGGATCCAGAAAGTCAAGATGTTGAGTTGTGTTGTTATGGATAAATACATAGTGCCTATATTTTGTACTTTTAAAAACTTTTTTCTTATGGATTTACAGTAAAATATATAAGTTTTTACTACTTTGCTGGTGCCGATTACTGCAGGGAACTTGCAACAATCCCTCTCGTAGAAGCTGTTTATGTGAAATACGTTTTTTTTCCCCCTCACCCAAATTAATAGGTCTAAAATTATTTGATTCTCTTTGCTTTCAACATTTTCATCGTATTTCTTCAATTCAGTCGAACAGCCAGAAAATATCTCCCAACTATTAAGCATAGATTTTGTTTTACCGAACAATACAGTATTCCTTGTTTTGCTCACAATACATTTGAAAAGTAATAACACAAAGATGACGCCTACCAAAAACTCTTTGTTTTACTAGAGTATTTGGGAGCCAAATCAGTGGCTGACGTGTGCTGGCTTGGTCCTCTGCAATATGTCTTGCAAGAGTAAAACCAACAGGATTCCTCACCATCACCCTGGTCTATTGGAAAAGGATGCTGTCATCATGGCTTCCGGTTATGTCAACCAATGGTCAAATGGCAAAGGTCACACACACATTGTAAGGGGAAAGCCCAGGCCAAACAGGTCAGTCATCTTTACCCTCATTGGACTCGGACTCAGCCCGCAGTGGACTCTTTCAAATTGAGACATCAAGCACTTTGTTAATGTTGATTTCAAACTGAATACATTGTTGCTTCACAAGTCTTACCTTTTCTTTAATAACTGTTACTCATGGGATTTTAACACACTTCTTTTTCACTGTATTAAGTCTTTATTTCTACCTGCCGTCAGGCACTGTGTCAACTCCATTAGATGGCAGTGGATATAAGCCTCTTGTAAAAAACAAACTACCAGATGCTAAAAA